CACAAAAAGATACATATGTTGCGCTGAGGTCCATTTCAAGAAGAGATGGTATAATCATATCTCATCTTTTAGAATCCCGGAACGTAGGTACAATACGAAGCTAGCAAGCTATTACTGGAGGTTTAGGGAGAGGGAAAACAAAAGCCCAAACATTAAATGAAGTATATTACGAAATCTAAAGACTAACACAACATCCCTCCGACTAAATCCGGTTTCGAACGTGAGTACTTAAGTTGTTGAGCTTCATTTGGTTGATTTACTGAACAAACCGCCTGAAGAGACCGTAGTGGTCGAAACCGCGGTAATGTTCTGGTCAGCATTCATATTTTTAAAAACATATATATATATATATATATATATATATATATATATATATATATATATATATATGTGTGTGTGTGTGTGTGTGTGTGTGTGTGCGCGCATATGATTTGCCTATTTAAGCGTTAATTCAAGAGAATAATTATTTAAACAAGAAAAAATGAAAAACATTAAAGATTTAAACAAGATATAAGAAAAAAATGGAATGCAGCTATATTTGCAAAAACTTTAGAAAACCCCAGTATATTCCGGAAATTTAACCTAAATATGAGACGTCTCTGACACCGGATATAAAATTGTTACATCATCATTTGATAATCAGAGCTGCAAGATAAAAAGAAAGAAAAAGAAAAGTAAATAGTGAGAGCGTCTCAGGAGACAAGAAAGTTATGAAAAGAAATAACCACAACATCCTACACTTGTACATATACACACACGTACAGACGTACACACACACGTATAAACGCGCAAAATAAACACACACGCAAACAAGAAAAAAAATTAAATTACCATCAATTTAAAAAAAGCGTATAATTTTTTTTTTAAATTTAATATAAAAATAACAAGAAACGAGAAAATTAACAGACATTTTCTGATTCCTTCTGACGAGTGGATCGAATAATTACACAAAGGTTAGTCAACGAAACTCGAAAATAGAAGAGCTGAAAATTTTATATTTGTATTCATGATATATAACCATTTACTACTCAACAATATACTAAACAACATTTACTACTCAACATAATACTCAACAACAAATAATAAAGTAACTGTTATGGGACCTTACCCATGATAACATAATAGACTATTCTATACGTAATAAATACTGCGCCTCAAGAGGAAGCAGGGAGTTCAGTCCGATGTCGGGCGACCGACTGATCGGCTGATCGGTTGAACTCTCTGCCTCCGGGCGGGAAGGAACCCGAAGGAGGCTACGCCGAAGGGTGGAGTCTCTTTCGGGGAGGTAAACTGACCCTGAACCCGTTTATACGGGTTCAAAGGGCATATTTTTGGCCGAGCCCGCGGGCTGCGAGATCCCACGTTAAACCGGCCTTGTGACACATGATGCCCTCGTGGTGGGGTGACTAAATACTGTTTAGTCTGAAGTCTGGAGTGAGCTCCGTCAGAAGTCTGTCAGTCAGTCAGAGCGAGCGAGTCAGTCAGTCGAGTCAGAGGCAGTCCGAAACAGAGTCGCGTTCAGACAATTACTACTAAACCTGATTGTTTGTACTAACACTTTCTACTTCTCTGTATATATTCCTGTTTGTAATATATCTGTGTTATTCCATATCCGTGTTCGAGTTTTTCTTTATTCTTTCTTCCTTGGACTATGACCGTGGTACAAGAAACCGGACCATAACAGTAAACAATAATAAATAATGAGTAAAAAGTTACCAGACAACATTATAAAAAAGCTACAAATAACCGCTTTTGTATCCACAATTACTTCTACCTGAGAGCTTCCATAGGAAATTGACACATAACCGTAACCATCTACTGAATAACCGTTAAGATAATACCATAGACATTATTACCCATAATACACCATTGACCAGCAGGAGTCAAGAGATGAGTTATGCTGTCGCTACATATCCTAGCAAGGATGTGTTGCTTAATGAAAGATCTGAGATTTCATTTAAATACAGGCATTTGAACAAGTATCTTTTCGGTATGTATGAATTCGGATTGAACGTGATTGATAATTTTCTTCTTTTTTCCCCCACACTTCTTCTCTTTACTTCCCACCTCCCCCCCCCTTCACCATTCTTTTTTTTGCCTTCCGGTGTTCATATATGTTGGGGAAATCCACTGAATTATTCATTCTGTACTTGCTTGAGGAGACCTTGCGATTGAAACCCGGAGAGTAAGGTTGCATTTTTAGTGTTTTTGAAAATACACACACACACATATATATATATATATATATATATATATATATGTGTGTGTGTGTGTGTGTGTGTGTGTGTGTGTGTGTGTGAGTGAGGAGAGATAACGATATATATATTTTTATATATCATGAACAATATTGGGGAAAAATTTATAACAAAGTGCAAAAAGTTTTCTTGTTACTCGTCTCATCCGATGAAGTTCTAAAGGACGAAATGCATCATCATCCCCTTGTATTTTATAATCGTAGGACGGATCTGAATGCAGAAGCCACACTAATTCTTGACCACAACGGTTTATCAACGGCAGCTATCAGCAATTCTAGTAGTCATACCAGTTCATTTTTTTACATTGTCCAACCAATTTTAGCGTTGGCGTCTTCTCCTACGTGCACCTTCA